ACCTTGTCCCCCCCCCCCCGATCAACCCCCCACTCCCGATCAACATGCAATTACATTTTTTTTTAATGAAATCATTTTGTTTTTTAATCATCACTGGGTTTGTCTGCTGCTCTTTGCTCTGAGTTTTGTGGGAAGCTCCTGCTGTAAACATCACAGCTTTCTTCCTCAGATCTTTTTCAAAATAATGCCAGTGAAGTGGTATTTCATAACGTTTAGAAACAAAATTATTGATAACAATGACATTGGTGCCAACAATAGTAGGGATTAGGTGGAGACGTGATTGAATGAAGGAGGTTGTTGAGACAGGAAAAGAAGGTAGGCTCAAGATAGCTGCTGCAGCTTAAAAGGGTATATTGTGGAGATGCAAGTTTACAGGGATTTGAGAGTACATAGATTCAACATAGGAGAGGGCTTGCTACACGTGTGGGTAAAAAGGTAAGGCTGCAATTCATCTTTCAAGGAGAACAGAAAAAATGCAAATACAAGACCTTCTGTGAATGGACAAGTGGAGGTCCAGTCTTATTCCTGTACCTCATCTCCTTTTGTCCATTCATAGAACACCAAAAATGCAAGACTTTTTGTGAATTAAGGAGGGACTAATTTACAACTGGAGTACTTCACATTCCTAGCTGCAGCTCTTCATCACCACAGTGCTGAAAGTATAGCTTGTACATTCAGTTATGAGTGACACTAGAAATTTAAAAACTAATCAGCATGAATCCAGACATAGGATAACTGTTGTTAGAGGTAACTTGTTTACAGAGCACAAGGCTAAAATCGACCCAAAACCATAATAATTTGCTTTTAAGCAGTGGTCAAGCTATTTAGTGTATTCCTCTCCAGTTTTTTTGTGATCCAGCACCAACCCCCTTCTGGTTGAATGATGTCCAACATCATTCAACCCACTTCCTTTGAGTCCAGGGGGTGCATCACCAGGACACCCTGCGCTAACAGTACATCCCTGTAAAAAAAAGAGCATTGGCCTCATTACTTCTACACTCTCTGCATATGTTTAGTTCTAACTCTTTAGCAGTCCAGGAACTACAAGCCTACAGTTTTACATATACAGTATAGTTAAAGCTCTGATTTCACCTTTATCCTTTGGTTGCAATGTGCCAATAGTAAGCAAATAATGTTCATGCTTACTTGATTTGACCTAGTGTAATCTGGGTGAATGTTATTTGTTACTGTACTTTTATTTGCCTATTGTAATTCTTTATTGGATAAATGTATTTGTAAATCTAATAATAAGCTTTGTAAGAAATAATAGTGATATACATTTACCCACATTATTTTTTAGGACTCATCACAATAAAAGATGCTCATGAAATAGAGTCAAGACTAAATGAAGTTGAACAACTCCTGAAGACTGTCATAAATATGCCTTGTAAAGTAAGTATGTCTTATAAGACAAGTGACAACTGAGTGGAAGTATCAAGGTATATTTTTTCCTATACAGTACTGTTAATTGCATGGATTTGCTACAGAGTGGAATGTTTCCTTCACACCGGGGTCCTGCAAAATGCTCAGTATTAACCTCCATGAGGCACTGGGACTATTCAAGTGGTTGATAAAAGGGCTGGGGGGGGCAGAAGAAGGTCAGTGAATGTCTGGGGATCAATAGGTGGCTGATAAATAATGGAAGGTGTTTTGGGGTTAATCCATAAAGGTCTCTCGGGAGCTTCAGTCTTTAGTCCTAAGGGTGAGGTGGCTAGCAGTGAGACAGTGTCACCTAGTGCTGGATGGTCAGCCAGCCAACAAGAGTGGCCTTGAATTGGCTTAATCAGATGTGTGTTGTCACTGGCCTCATTTACCAGCATGCCTTGCATAGTGTATTTTTAACCTTCCACCCTCTCCCTTCCAAGATGGAAATAAATATATGTTTACTGAATGTACTCCCCCATCTCAAACTCTATTGGAGAGCCAGTGAGTACACCCATTGTGATAGAAGTGGTTCCAAAGAAATTACTGCTGTGAATTTACTAATCATTATCATATCATTATCAGTCGAATAATCATATTGGCAGCTGCTGATTCTTAGAATTAGAAGTTTCGAAAGTATAAAGCATATTTTATTATTATTAACATTATCCACATTACTGTTATTGAAAGTTGCATTTCTTACACTATCTAAAAAAAAAAGTTACACACTGTAATATTTTATTAGACCGCCTATAGCTTTAATTAGGGCACAAATTTGCCGTGGCATCGTTTTGATAAGCTTGTGCAATGTCACAACATTTCTTTCCGTCCAGAGTTGCATTCATTTTTCACCAAGATCTTGTAGTGATGATCGGAGAGTCACACTGCTGTGTAAAGTCTTCTCCAGCACATACCAAAGATACTCAATGGGGTTAAGGTCTGGGCTGTGTGGTGGCCAATCCATGTGTGAAAATGATGTTTCATACTCCCTGAACCTCTTTCACAATTTTAGCCCAATGAATCCTGGCATTGTCATCTTGGAATATGTCCATGATATCAAGGAAGAAAAAATCCATTGATTATTATTATACAGGATTTATATAGCGCCAAGAGTTTGCGCAGCGCTTTACAACATAAGGGAGACATTACAATCACAATACAATTCAAGACAAGATGGTAAGGAGGGCCCTGCCTGTGAGAGCTTACAATCTAAAATGGGTTGATGGAAATACCTGGTTATTCAGGTAGGCAGCTGACCTAATTTTTTGGGCACATAACATTGCTGTACTTAGAACTGACCAACTGAAGCAACCCCAGATCATAACGCTGCCAGAAATCCAGGTAGTGACTTTTTTTGGCCAGGCAGTGTATAGCTGGACATTCAACGCTGATTCACAACAGTAATAAATTTTTAATGCATTGGCATTGGCACAACATTCCTGAACCAGACCTATTATTCAGTGGAAGGCTCTGACCTAGTTGCTTAGATAAATCCAGATGAATACTTTTTTTGGCCAGGCAGGGTATTTTCTTATAATACATTTTTGGCTGTCCGCTAACAATCTGAAAATTCATGAAGGAGTTGATGTCCCAATGGGGACACAACAATTAAAAGAAAAGATTTTAACCCTTGCATCAGTTCAAAAGGATAAAATAAGATGTTTTGGTTGAAGTTCTGCTTTAAGGCTGGGTTCACACCTAGGCGTATCGAATATGCGCGTTTGTCGCGTGACACGATACGTGGTAAAAAAACCCGTGCGACAAACACGCGTTTCCGAGGGCTAACTGGATGTATCCTAATGGATACGCGTGACAAAAACGCCCCAAATAAGCTCCTGTACTTCTTTGGGCGTAGGGCGTTTTGTAGCGCGTTCATACGGCCTGTAATACGCCCAGGTGTGAACCATACCCATAGGAAATAATGGTATTTCGGTGTTTGAGGGTTTTGCAGAGCGTAGGAACGCGCTACAAAACGCCCAGGTGTGAACCGGGCCTAAGTGAATCCTTTCTTCCAGAAACAGAGTAGCTGGACCTTGAAATGCCTCACAGAACCATCTACAAAATGAGAGCTGTTCGCTATAAAGTTGCTGAGCCACAATTAAAAAGCTTAACTCCTGGAGGAGGATCTGAAAACCTACTATCTCTTCATTCCATTACGTTTAATGATTTCAACTTTGCACTTTTCCCCTTGAAATACTGTCTTGCTTGTCAAAATATATATTTTAATGTAATTAATGGCAAGAACATTGAGACTTATTACATGTGTCACTAGGAAGTAGCCAGAATGTCTTATATTTAGAAACTTTACCATTTAAAGTGCCAGTGTTAAGTATCATAAAAAACGTATACAACTGTGATACTATGAAATATGAAAGTGTGTAAATCCTAACAATGTAGAACATATATATGAAGCATAATCCTAATAAATGTGTATATATGACAAATATTAAAACTGAAAATATTAGGACTAGCGTGCAATCAATCTCTAAAATGACTGTGTCAATAAAGTAACAAACATCAATACAGTAAACTCCCCATTATACGGTGTTCTATCGAAATCTCCGACTTGTCGAGCTCTCCGACAGGGCACATCACATCCGGTGACTGCCAGTAGGTGATGTACAGCAGATGGAGCTAGAGCTCATGGGCAGAAAAATCCGTGTTGAACTGTCTAACTATTGCCACTGCACCTGCGTGGCTAGTGGCTCATCGGATTCTATAACCTAGGACAAACTTATATTTGTCCTAGGTTATAGAAGCCAATAGCTAGGCAGGCACAATGGTAACTGTGTTTGTAGAAAGAATAATGTGGCCGCGCAGGTGCTGTAACATAATATAGCCTTTGACTAGGTTATAGAATCCGATGAGGCAATAGCCACTGCGTCTGCGTGGCTATCAGCTCATCGGCTTCTATAACCTAGGACAAATATAACTGGCAATAGTTAGACAGTTCGACAAGGATTTCCTGGGTATGCGCACTAGCTCCATCTGCTGTAGATCTCCTACTGATGTGACGTCACCAGTTGGAGAGGTCGACAAGTTGGAGCTTTCGATAGAACACCGGCATTCAAGCCACCGGCACACTCAAGGAAGCAGCAAGAAAAATGGAGGACATAATATCTTCTCAGTCTTTTTTTTGCCGGTGGCTTGATGCACACTAAAAACTTTTGTTAGCAAATGAATGTATAAATTTATTATCTGTTTGCATCTTGCTGCTGACTAACAGCTAGATTCCGCAGTCGGCAGTTGAATGTAAACAACAGGGAGCAATAGGCTGCCTGCTTTTTGACTATTTCAAATTGCATAGAACTTTCACCCTCAGGTCCTCTCCTCTGCTCAGTGGGGGAGGGGAGGGGGGCAGTAGCCAGCCTGCTATTGGCTATGGCAATTTGAAACAGGTAGATGCCAGAAACTACAGTTGTCTGTCATCTACCAATCCCTGTGGGTGCTGGATAACTGGGCGTTTATATAATCACTCAAAAAAAAAACAAGTAGCCAAGTCAAAGAAATGATAACATACATGTAAATGCTGATATAAAAGATTCCAAAGTCCCTGGGTTTGCTTACAAATCTTTACTGCGGTAGAAGCTTTGTATATTCTTGTAAATTATCATGATTCTTCACCACAGTGGGATCCAAAAATGATATTTGTGCGAGTCCCAACAACCTGTGCAAACAGAGAACTCACCAGAACAAATCACTTCTTTATAAGGGCCAGAGTGTTGCAATAACAGCACTGTTCATTTCAATGGCACCCCAGTGCACCTACCAGCAGGTGTGTGTTGCAGCGCAATTCGTGGTAATGCACTACCTTACACATTTTCACATTTTCACCTGTGGAGCGGTGAAAAGAAGTAGTGCATTCACTAACACGCAGTATTGCGGCACCACACATTGCGCTGCAGTGAGAGGCTGTCGGGAGGTGTGTTGGGTTGCCATTTTTAAACCAATTGTGTGGAGCTGGGTGGTTCTGACAGGTCCATCTACTGCTTAATAAAATAACCTTAAAGTGTATCTATGGTCAAAAACTAAAACTAAATATGTATTTCTATATTGAATTTCCAATAAGTTCTATCCCGCTCCTAATAACCATATTGCTCTAGAAGTTTGTAAACGTACTTATTGAAGATGCCCATAGGATGTACTTCCTCAATGGCCTGACACAATTTCACTCAGCCCTATGAATATGAACTTCCTTCTGTTACAACTCTCACAGAGCCTGCCTTTAAACTACAACTCAGCGTGTGAGCAATGTAACATTATCAAGACTGCCTAGCATAGCCCAAAGCACAGCCCCAAATGTTTAAAGGGCAGGACAGGTTCATTTCAAGTGCAACTTCTTGATGGTTATTCTTATTTTAACATTTACAAGTATCAAGTATGCAGAAAACATGCAAACTATAATTTTTTATTATCAGCATTTTATGATTTAACAACCTTTTACAAATTGCAAATGCCTGTACATGAGTATTCTGAAGAAGTGCAGCAAAAGTATAAACATAATAACTGTACTTCATTCTTCCAAGTCATTCTCTACATACTTATATCACTTTGTTTCTTTACAGTATTCAAGGTCAGAGGTTGTCCTCACTTTCTTTGAGAGGTCCCCACTTGACCAAGTGTTAAAAAATGATAATGTTCACAAGATCCAGCCAAGTTTCCAGAGCCCTATTAAAATATCTGGTAAGTGGATGTGCAGCTTTCTATATTACTGCCTATGTTCAACACATTCAGTAATGCAGTACATACAGTAGATCACTGATGATATCCAAGGTGCAACATCCCATATTAACCAATCCATTTGTGGTTTCATGCATAAAAGATGACATTTGATTTGATGCTGTTGGTTTTTACTTTTACTTTTTTTTTTTTAATAAGCCATTTTATCTACAGTATTGTATACATTTGAGTGGCTTATTTTGCTGTATACCAAGGGCTTCATTTTTAAAAGTTCCGACTGGCATATGGCTGGGCAGATGCTGTTCACACAGCACTAGCGCCCCTACAATTTCCTATACTAGAACTTTAAGGCCTCATTCAAACGGGTAACGGCCGGCCCATACAGAACTGTGCTGCATGCAGGCCGTATCGGGCAGCTCCTGTCTGCGTCCAAGCAGGGACACCCACACCCGTGCGAATGGGCAGTTTGGGTGAGCGTAGAGCGGCGTACAACCGCATACTCCCACAGAGACGGCTGCTGCGTACCAATCACACGGAGCACCTGTCCTTTCCGGGAGCTGCCCAATACAGCTGTGCACGCAGCACAGTTCTGTATGGGCCGGCCGTTACTCATGTGAATGAGGACTTATAAGGGAAGCCCCGAGTGAACCTGCTATGCCAAATCAGATTATATTGCATCTCCAATTTATGTAACTGAGTAAGATAGGCCGTTGGTGGTGTGCCATTAGTCCCACAATCAGAAAGGTGTGTTGCAATAAGCCAGTAACACGTTGCCTTTATTGATCAAGTTTAGCTATGTGCTTCGTTTTTATATTTATGCGGCTGTCATTCTGTAGCTGTTATATTATTAGCTTTGTTGCCTGGAGAAAGTACCAGAAACTTGAAAGAAGCATTAACTTCCCCTTATTTCTTAGCATAACTCTTTTTTTGTTTCGACTTTCAACATGCCAACATCCACTGAGCAGCACTGTGTTTACGTCCTTCATAAATCGTTATTAGGTATACAGTAATTGGCATAGCTGTATTCATAGGTTTTTTTACATTTTAGTAACATTTTCAGTACTGCCACAAACAATAAGCACTGTACTGTATATGATAAAGCAGAGGTTATTTTCACTGAAAAACATGTTTTTCTTTTGCTAGCCCATAGATCTGGAGGCAGTAGAAGTTGAATGAGGCAGCACAGTGGCTTAAGGTGCCCATACACCTTACAATTATCTGCAGATTTTCTGTGGTCAGATGGAAAAAGTGCAACAGATTGGCCCAGGTGGAGATTACTCCATCCACACAGTTAAGTGTAGATGGACAAATCTGTTGCACCTTTTCCAACTGACCACAGAAAATCTGCATATAATTGTAAGGTGTGGGACCAGCTTTAGTGGTTACCACTTCTGCCTTGCAGCATTTGGGTTCTCAGTGTGAATCCCAACCAGAATGCTCTATACACGGAGTTTGCATGACCTGTGCTTGTGTGGGTTTCCTTCCAGACATGCTAGTAAGTTAGTTGTGTCTATATTGGCCCTAGTATGTGTATGTACACATGTGAGAATGGGACTTTAGATTTTAAACTCCTACAGGCTATGTTCCCACCATGTCTGGAGCAGATCTGCAAACGCAGTGCGTTTTAGCTTAAAATGAGCTTTCAGGTGCAGCACAGTGTGTTTGCATGCATTTACGTGCATTTTGGTGCGTTCCAGTCCAGAAAAATAGTGCATGCAGCATTCCCCCCCCCTGTTCACACCACTTCCAGCATGTTACAACATGATTTTAGATAGCTGTTGGAAAGCACTGGACCGCATCGTGGCCCTCTCCCTGCGCTCCAGTCCTGTGCGATCGCAAAAAATGCTGCATGCACTATTTTTTTGCGATTGCACTGGACCGGAACCCAGGCATTGATGTGTTACGCATTCTGGTGGGAGCAATCACACTGCGGACTGTGTGTGGCTGCGGTGCCATTAACTTGAATGCACCCATACGCTCGCTCCCTCCCCAGAACGCAGGGATCCGGCCAGGATGCGATCCAGTGCGGTCCAGCAGCTAATCGTGCTGGAACGCACTGGAAGTGGGGTGAACAAGCCCTTAGGGCAAAGAACCGACATGAATGTACAATATGTAAAGTACTGGGTAAATATGTTGGTGCTATATAAATTCCTGTAGTAAATAATATGCAAATCTTGACTTTTCCTGTTAAAGTCGAGCTTGTTCCTGCCCCACCTTATTCAGTTCTAGAGTTTATGCACATAATGCTTATTCATAGCAGTATCACTTCTACAGTATACACGTTTAGTAAACTACACAAAATAGTCATTAAAAAGGCCATTGGTTAGGGGCTGTTAAATCAGAACTACACCCTCCTCGCCCTTACAACCATTGAAGGTGCCATCTTAGCCTCTATTTGGATTGCAGAGGTCAGGGGTCTTTTTTTTTTTTTTTTTTCAGCACCTAGGCAAAAACAAGCACATAACCCTTGCAGTGGGGCATTAGCCCCACTGCAAGGGTTAGGAACACTTTTGCCCGGAGTTCTTCTCTAAGATCAAATTTAACCCACAAAATGTCATACTCATTTAAAGCTGAAGTAAACTGCCACCCCAAAAGGAAAATGATGGGTCCCAGGAGCTGTTTGCCATAAAGTGCCAGAATGCACAGCATATTAATACATTATGGCAGATTCATCTTGCAAGCAACCCCCCCTCCACCTCTGCTGTTTTAGCATTCCCCTTTGTTGCATGTGTACTCATGTTCTCCTGGTCTTTCTCTGCGTTCAGTATGTTCTGCCTCTTGATTGGCCAAGCCGAGATGATGTAACCCCTGCACATGCGCAAGTGAGTTTCTTCACCTTGGCACAGATCTGTGCTGAGACTGTGCAGTGAGCTGCACATTCGTGGCTCAGTATAACAAGTGCTGATAGGCAGGGAGGAACAATTATGACAGAAGAGACATACAGAGTCTCTTCTGTCATAAAAACCCTGCCTGCCAGCCGTTTATAAAGATTCAGACTTTAATTCCACTTTAACAACAACCTTCGTTTTCTACAGTCTGGGCACAGGGCTGAGCAGAGGAAGGATCTACGCTGGATCTGAGTAAGCCAATTAATGACTCTTCCTGCACAAAGATGCGGCACAAGGACAGACACTGTTCTCCTCTGCATTCAGCAGTCGGAGCCATTGCTGCTGTTAAGTATTAGTGGACAGATAAGGTCGAGAAAAATGTGACTTTAAATGCCATTGGGAAGCAAAAATATATGAATACAGAACACAAAAGTCCTCCCAAACTAAGTATATTAGTAGTACATTAGTTCTACTTTAAGCACCATGCTCTTATTTGCTATAATAATTAAGTGACCCTTTCACGCTTTATTTCGAATGGCAGTATACTGGATGTGTACCTTTGTGTTGGATCTTTTATCTCTTATGTTGTATTGCCACCTACAGGGGAAGTCTTTTTTTTTTTCTATACAAAATGGCAACAGTACTTAAACCTTTCTTATATTTATTGGGTTACATTGTTTTATTGAAATACAACAGGAATATGTTTTACTTGTTTGCTTTGAAAACATTAATATTGCATTTGTTTTTAATAAACATTAAAATGATGGGAATAAACATTGTGGTAATGTCCATTCCTGAAAGATGACATTTTTCTGGTGATGGTGTTTTAGCAGAAAGGAGCTGGGATCTGGTAGCACTCTCCAGTCTTTGGGGTTATCAGTGTATAGAGATATATGACTCAGTCTACAGATTACGTAACCAAGCGCTTGCTTTGTTCACGGATAAAGCGATTGCAGACTGCAGCACGGTTTAGCTGACACTGCAGTAATCATTCACTTCAATGGTATCCTTGGACAAAATATTTATGTAAAGGTCGCTCTTTCCCCCCTGTGCTGTGGTCATACTGTTATATACGTTCATTCCTTCCCTTACTGCAATGCTTCTCATATCTTTTCTTAAATACCTGACTATTGAGCTCTTCCAGATTTCACAGCTGTAGCACATCCGTATTAACCAGTAAGGCTTAGTTCCGCTTGTAGCTGCTAATCTAAAGTGCAGAATGTACAGCAAGAATTTTCAAATCTTTTTAGCATGTCCTTCACAAGCCCTTAAAGCAAAACTACCACAAATAGAATAATGGGGGCTGCCTGTGCTGAGCTTGACTCCTGAAATTGCTCGTTGCTTGGCTGCCATGCTGAACCTCTTGTTGTGACTCTTGTTGTGACATTCATGCAGTTAAGAAATTCTGATTTTTCTCACACGTTTATTATTATACAGGATTTATTTAGTGCCAACAGTGTGCGCAGCGCTTTACAATATAAGAAAGGCATTACATTTACAATACAATTCAAGATGGTGAGGAAGGGCCTGCCTGTGAGGGCTTACAATCTATGCAATGATCTGCATAATAGTTTTATGTCAGTGAAAGAATTGATGCCAGAGGATCAGCAAAACAGCCAGGCAACTAACATTCTCAGAAAGAGGTCAGTGTAAATAGCCACTGCATTCTATCATGGCATGTTAACTGTAAATCACCTTCACCTCCGGTATGAGAGTATTGAATACAGATTGTAAAGTTAATCTGCCTAAAAGGTTAGGGACATGTGTGAGCTTGGTGCCAACCAAATTTGCCTGTGTTCACCCAAGCCAGCTCACTGCAGGAAGTGAGGAACACACAAGTAGCAGGATTATACACAAAAGGGTGAAGAGTTTGGAGAAGGCAGGAGAAGTGAACAATCTAGGACAACATAGCTGAACTGGAAAGTGAGTTGAATTGGAGAATTTTTTCAAATCAGATATTTTGGCCTAGATTGTTCACTTCTCCTGCCTTCTCCACACTCTTCAGACTTTTGTGAATAACCCTGCAGATGTTTCACAGGATCAACAGGTAATATTTGCATTTATGAAGCAGATATAACAGAGCAAAGAGGAGAAGTTCATTATTAGGGTTTACATAGACGCTGGCACACCACCCGTGATTGTATGTGACGTGATTACATACAGTTAGGAATCAATCACTCTCCCTGGACACATCCATTACATGCAGAGTGCCGGCCTTCAAATGCAGCGGCTGTCAATCGATCATTACATTGAATAGGTGACAGTTGCCGCTTGTAAACGTCAGATTAGGGATTCCTGCTGCAGGAAATCGCAAGTTCCTGACACAGGAATCCCTAATCACACCTAAAATATAGGTGTGAATGGAGCCTGAGGGTGGCCATGCACTAGTAGATTTCCGAAGAACTTTCGGATGAAAGATCTTTCGTTCGACTTTCTATTAGTTGATGGGGTTAAATCGATTTCAACCATAGTGACGAAAAAAGTCACAGGACCAGGATGGAACATTTTTCTTGAACGAACTAAATTCTAACAGTGTATGTGGTTTTCGTTCGGGAAACTCCAAATTTACAAGCAAACAAAATGTAGTTTGACATACGCCAAGTCCCTGATGGCATTATCAGGTGGTAAAGAAAGATCTTTCGTTCAGAACTCTAATAGTGTGCGGCCAGCTTTAGACTCTTTAGAATAGTCATTGCAAACTGAAGGCTGAGCAAACCTTTGCTTCTTCAAAGTGATCTGGACATTGTACAGCTTGGCAACGTTTTATCTGCAGTTGAGGAATAAATGATGTGCAATCATTCCATCAAAGTGAGGAGATTTTAATATAAAAGCTATTTACCAAATAACCACCAGCATGCAGAATATGTATGTGTGTTTTCCCTGACAGGTTGCAGTTTATCCAGCACAAGTATGAAAGCATTTTACAAAAGGGATTCTACTATATGGATACAGTTTTTATTACAGGCTTCTCCCACTAGGTGGCATGAGAGAATATTATAAGAATGATGTTCCACAGTATATTATCAGTTGTTGGTGGTTTAACCTGTTTAAAAATAATGTTCAAGCATTTATTATATTAACAGCTTCACCGGGGCAGATTTTATAGTTTGCTATGTAACAGAATTCATAGCGCTGACTCTGAAATAATTACACCAGGCACTGCTGGCCACCTTTTTACTGCAACAGTTATAAATTGTCATTGGCACTTAAGTGTTATAGGCAGGTGCCTGCTGTACTAGTTATTAGCAAGGACAATTAAAAAAAATTACAACCTGGCTGATTAGAATTTAGTTCAGGTTGTAAAGCTGAGGGAACTTCAGTCCCCAGTTCCTTCTTATACTTCTTTCCTTTATTCGACTTCTGTAATCATTAAAGTTGTTCTCTTAGCTGGGCATGGAACAATTTGATAGTTTGTGATAACAATCATTTTGGGGGCAGGATTTTATCTTCCATAAATCGATTGCACTAAACAGTCATTTCAGTCTACAAATGATCTTTATGTGTTCTATGAGTTTTCTGACACGACATACGTTAAACGGAAGTACATCTACAACCTTTGGTCAGGATGGTCCGACTGCAAGATGATGTCATAATAGGCATAGAATTAAGTTGGCACATTACTGCATTGTGGGGTTATCAGATGCCTTTTGGGCATGAAAAGACTCCAATAGGAGCATCGCATTACATAGGTCTCTGCTTAATACAGTTTTCGTTAACTCTTGGCGCTAATGGCTGCCAGCTGAACGATCCACTTGCTCCACTCAAAGTTTTCAACAGTTTACCACAGTTTTTCCACACAGACTTGAGGGGCTGCTTATTCAAGGCTCTGGGGCTTCCACACGAACATAGAAAACAAAAGGGAACAGAGCGCCACCTATGTGTGTAAAATCGTTTATTAAGATAAATAAAACAAGGGATATACAGGTGAAACTCGAATAATTAGAATATCGTGCAAACAAGGAAACGTTTTCATCACGCTTTAACAACAAACAAGAGGCCACACTGTCTGTTAACCCAACATGGTATCGCCCCGACTATGTACCACTGTTGCCTCCGGTCTCATCACCGTCCACGGTCTGCAGTCAGCCAAGATTGACGCTTTTCAGGGGCAATCCCCCTTCATCAGAATCACTGCTTAATACAGCTGGTCCCTACAAAGGGACCATATACTCTTATTGGTGCATGGGGACTAAAGTTGGGCAACATTGATATTGAAAACATTCTGTAATTTAACAAGAATACAAAAATTAAAAAATAAGGCAAATAGTAGTTGTAATATAATTAACAATTCATTATATTAAAAGAGTTTGCAACTAGAGATAAGCAGAGCAGTTTCTGAGAAATTGATTTTGGGTACTAAATTTCCCCAAAGTGGAAACTCTCAATTTTGGTCACTGCGCTGCTTGGGTGCAAAAGGATGTACGCTTTGCTCTCATTTATGGGGTATATTTTTTGGGGGGATGTAATGTATTTAGGAATTTAGGATAGTATAGTAAAACATTTTTAGCGTTCTTCACTTTTGTGGGTTTTCTTTTACTTTTTTGTGTGTATTTGATCATTGTTTGTGTTCTGTTGCTTTATTTTTTTTTTCATACTTTTTTTTGTGTGGAAAAAAAGTCAAATAATGAGGCTAAGGAGGGTAATTTTTTTGGCACAGGAACAGTTCCAGGGTGGTTAAAGGCAGTTTCTGTAACCTCAGGAGTCATTTAAAGCCCTTAACCCTTTTGCTGCCAAGGAGGTAAGGCTTATGTCACAACCAAATTGTTTGTATCTGGCCAGCACAGTAAGCCTTACCTCCTTGGCATTCCTGACCCTGCTAAAACCTCAGCGACCATGAACTTGTATCAGAATGGTCCCCCTGACTGTGCTGATTAAATAATAGCAATGATCAGTGGCTGACATTAATTCAAAATATGACCTCCCCCACCACTACAACCTCTACCTGCCACTCTGCCCAACACAGATCTTTCTTTGTCCCCTGCACTCCCTGCTGTCTATGCTGTGTTCTCCAATCCCCCAACTTCCCTCCCTCTGTCTGTAGCAGCAGATACAGTTGGCTATGCAGGGGAGAAGGAAACAGTGTCCAGCCGGTAGGATCAGAACCTTCAGGATTGTGACTGGAGGATTGGTAAATATGTGTGTCATATTTACTAATCCATTGTCTGTCTTGAATGAACACTGGGGTGTTCAGTGCTGATCAACCCGATGTTTATTCATAAATAACATTAAGAAAATATGCTAATGATATTGATTTTTTTTCCTCCATTCGCGCAGAACGAATGTACATGCAGTTTCACAGGATGAATGGCTGTGCAGATTGTTTGTAAATACACCCCTACATTTTAACTATCTCTATCTGTAACTCTATAGGCAAAAGTAGGCTCTTGATTTCTGTCTTCTAGAATTGCGTTACAAATGTGTCCAATTTAAGTTGCACGGTTTCAATCAGAGGACTAGTTTTACTTGCAAAAACTGGAAAGCACATGATTTTCCCTTTTTTTGAAAAAATACATGTATTACCTGTAATCCTTTTATGATAAACCTTTATCTGTTTTATCAGGACACAAATACAGCTCATCTAAAAGGGTTACCTAATTACATAAGTCAGTGGCATATCTTTCACAATTGCAGGCAAAATAGCCGCACTGTGCCCATAAATGCCTTCCTGTGTAGCATATGGTAACCTAATTTTGCTTATCATGACATCATCTTGCACCTGTGTCTGACCACTATTTTTACAGAGTCAGATACAAATAGATTAGAAAGTGTTTGATTATTGAAATAGAAAAAAAATATTTATTTAATGTGCAAATTGTTTTTATTTCTCTTTGTCTTAATAGAAATCATGCGTTCCAATGGGTTTTGTTTAGCCAATACAGAAACGATAGTCTTTGACCACAGCATTCCCCATGCAAAGGATCCTGACTTGGATGTAGATTCAACAGATCACTTGTGAGTATCTTGTTCATATTGCAGTAAAATTTATTCCAAGTTTTGCCTACTTGCCAGGATATCTTCTTACCAGACAAGCTCTTAGCAGTGATCTTACCTTGTCATCTTACTTCCCAGGATATGGAAAGAAGCAATTCACCACATAGCATTTAACTATATTAAAATGTCAACATGTGGCCATAAATAAAGCATCTCAGCCCAGTTTAGTCATTGTGTAAGGTACCTGAGGAAGGTAGAGCCCAAAGTGGAGTGAGGCTGAGGATAAGGCTGGGGGGTGTCAGCAACAGACAGGCAATGAGGTAAAAAATCAGAATCCAGGAGAGAAACAGGCTGAGGTCTAACATGAACAGGCAGCAAGGTACAAAAGCAGCAGGCAGAAGGGTAGTCGGAAAACAGGCCAAAGTCAAAGATATCCAGCGGTTAATTCAGCAGCATCACACTCAGGAAACAAACCCAAATAAACAGGCTCAGAGCACAGGAAGTGATCAGTATTTAACCCCTTCATGACTGGAAACGTACACTGTATGTCTCCATCATGAAGTGCCAAAAACAGCAGAACGGTGTGCAAACCACTCCTACTATTTCAGTTTTTGACAGCTCTGTAGAGATCAGGACTTCCCGATGTTTACGGGCTGTTTTGTTACAATACATTCTTCAGCACAGAAATATGTAACAATATATTTCTTTGCTGAAACAATGTTTCAAGGCTTCTGATGAAGGATCAGCTTGTTCACACCACTTATTGCTGCTGGATTTATACGGGATTTATATAGCGCCAGCAGTTTGCATAGTGCTTTACAATAAAAGGAAGACATTACAATACAATTCAAGACAAGATGGTAAGGAGGGCCCTGTATTGCATCCTGCGTTCTGGGGTGGGAGGGGGCATGGTGGTACATTGAAGTCAATGGCACTGCAGCCACGCCCCCTGCCCGCAGTGTGATCGCCCGCACCAGAATGCGTGGCACATCAATGCCTGCATTCTGGTCCAGTGCAATCAAAAAGAATGCTGCATGCACTATTTTTTCTGATTGCACTGGACTGGAACGCAGGCATTAAAGTGCCACGTGTTCTGATGTGGGCGATCGCACTGCGGGCGGGGGAGGGGAATGCACCGCCATGACCCCTCCTGGCCCAGAACACAGGGAGCCAGCCTGGTTGCGATACAGTGCATTCTAGCAGCGAATCATGGTGTGAACAAACCCTTACTGAGATCTGATCCTCACATGCTGTCAGGTTCAGTCTCTAAGGTTATTATTAGCTGTTCTTACGTTTGGAGCAGCCTAATAATAACCAAAAATTTAGAAAAAAAATTATTATGAAGCAGTTATTGTGACTGATTAATATGATGACAAAAAAGTGTAAAGTGTAAAACAAATTAAGAAAAAAATAATATTTTTATACTATAATTATTATTTAAAAAATTAACCCTTAACAATGAAAATTTGCACCTGAGCTGCAGATTTGTTTTCACCCTCAAGGGTTAATTTGTTTATTTAACCCCCTCATGACAGCATGGTTCAAAATATGTTGCTGTCCCTAAGTGTGACAGAGAAAAAAAATTAAATGTTAGATTTAAGTTTTTGGCTGAAAAGTAAAGAAAAATGTCTGAAATCCTAGGCATGTGAGGTGTTTCCAAATAAAGGACAAATAAATGAATTTATTTTAATGCATTTTTTTAGCTGTGCTATTTTTCTAAAAAATAATAATCAAAACTGGGGAAAAGGTGTTTTCTTTATTTGTTGTCCTTTTTTTAATATATGTTATTCATACTAAGTGAGGCATTAGGCACACATAAATATATAGCCCTATCTGTCCTCTAAAAAACAATATATGATATGTGTGGGTGCACTTAGTAAGAAAGTATATTACTGCCGTGGATGAATCACACAGCAAAAATTTAAAAAGTGCGTCAGTCAGTAACGAACGGAAACTGAAAAAAGATCAGTCATGAAGGGGTTAAAGGCTGAGATAAATGTGGAATGACTGCAGCTGGCAAGCAGGTGGAGCTAGAGAGTCCAGAGGAAAAGCTCCTGAATAGAAACCTGAGTCCTCCTGGTGGTTGAAAGGCAATGCATCAGTACTTTTACCCCAGACCCAGGTGACCCAAACCTACAAAACAGGTGCTGGGCTGACAAGCACCTGACACATTTTCTTTTTTAGAAATGATTCTAGACATCTTGAGTACTTTTCATTTATGTTTTAAGGGGAGTGGTTCATACATATTTTCTTTTTTTATTTATATTCAGGACTATACAAATTGGATTTTTGCACTTAAAATTCAAACCATGAAATAATTTTTTAGAAGTTTATTATTAAGGGACACAGGATTCAGTTATAATTAGGAAGGAAGTAGCCCCTGGGCCTTAATACCACCTTGTCCTTATGTAAGACCAGAAAGGTTCAGCACAAAGCCACCAGTTGGCACACACTTTGCACAGTTGGTGGTGACAAAAAAAAATTGCAACCTTGGAAACGATAATGGAAAGAGGAAAATCCCTTATAGGTTCAAAGGGTGTTTTTGAAGAGCCCAGAGAACCAGATTCAAATCCTAAGGAGCCATAAGTAGACACACAGAGGGAGCTACATGAAACATCCTGTAAAGGTCTATTGGGAGGTTAGGCCTCTCTGGAATAAAACTGAAAGAGCTAAGATCTAGCCTTTGATAGTACTTAGTGCCAATTGTTAATCCAAGCCTGATTGTTTCTGGCATGAAAAATGTATTTCCTATCACGAAGTGAGGTATGACTTGGATTTGCAATGGTAGATCGTCTACGAAGTGGACTCTCTGGCTTTAACATCATGGAAATCACTGGGTAAAATTGACCCCTGACCCTCAGGACCTAACAGCCATGCCATTAAAGCCATCAACCATGCATCAGGATGGTAAACCTGTCCTTAGGAGTGAAGATCCAGTCAATTTGAAGAGTTTGAGTCTGGGAGAGTTTGAAGTTTTTCTGGTGGAATGAAAACTCTGGCTTGAGCGGTGTCCAGGAGCAGTCCCACATATTAATAAAAGTTCAGGTTCCGACCTGTGCCAAGTGCTTCTACAACAGGAATTTATCCAGAAACTCCACAATAGAGATGCCCTAGAAGTGCAATAAGGCAAGCACAGGGGATAGAACCTTAGTAAATATGCAAGGTGCAAAAGAAAGACCAAATGGCAGGGCCACAAACAGAAAATGCTGAGGACCCACAGCAAAGCAAAGTAGTATTGGAAAAATAGGGACATGCAAGTATGTCTCCTTGGTGTCTGCAGAAGCCAGGAAGTATTTCTGATGAATGGAGACAAGGTAGATTCCATATGGAATATTCGGGACCGAATGAAGACATTCAGGGCCATGAGATCCAAGATTGGGTCAATGCCATCTTTTGGCTTTGGAGCTGTACAATTGTTGGACTAAAATTCTTGAAACCTTTCAAATACAGGAACTAGGGCAATAACCCTTGCTTCAGCAGACCCACAATAGCTACATGGAGGCCTGCTAATCTTAATGGTGATACAGGAAGATAGGGAGCAAAACTCTAGTTTGTAGCTAGTCAAAACAAACATCTGGAATGCTGTCTGTTCCAGTGTCCACAAAGGCTAACAGATGTCCCCCACTTTGGAAAGTGGGTGTTGCCCCTTATACCAACAAGGTCTTGTCTGCAGGTTTGGGGGCCCATGGCTTGTGGAGAGACTCGTTGCTGACTTTGACTGCCTGACTACCCTCTGCTTGTCACCTGCCAAGAGCCCTTCTTGTACATGGCTACTCTCTGCTAGCTGCCTGCCTTGACCTCTGCTTAGATCTGACTTTTCTCTAATCTCTTACCTTGCTCACTGTCTCCACATTGTAGCTCCTCTTTTCCTTCTGCCCCCTGATTTACAACGTGTAGTAGTGGGAATTTGCTACAAGTTTTCTTCTGTGGAGAAATAAATGAGGGCAAGAAGCTCTTAAACGCACCGACATCTGGACTGCCTTTCTGTGAGCTCTCTATTAAAAGTGGCAACGGTTGTTGTCCTGTGGAATTTAAAAGGGGCATTGCCCCATTGGTGGGCTTGTAAAAGCTGGTGTGTATATCCACTAGAGAGACTCAGTAAGTACTGTGATCTTGCTGATAACAGACCGCATTGTCCTGCAGTGTAAATACTTTTGGTGAATCTGCAGTATGGAGGACTTAATAAAGGCATTGCTACAGTCTAATGCTGCTCAGCAACAAACTCATCAGCAAAACCTAGCAAAGCAGCAAAAGATCCTGACATGGCAGCAAGAAACCAATAGATTGTTTGCTGCCCAGCAGCAACAGGCTGATGCAACTCAGCAAGAAACTACAAGACTGTTGGAGGGTCAGGTGACTGCTTAGGCTCATTCAAAAATGAGGGACGGACAGACTGTAAATCAGGTGGCACAACAGATTATGGTCCAGGGTCCGGAAGGCGTTGTTGTTACCCAAGGTCATCCTTGTGCAGAAAGGCTCCATTCACATATTCGTATGTGCGGAAAAACACTAAACACAAAAACGAATGCATTTCAATGTATCTGGTTCACACCTGCGTGATGTGCGCACGGTACAAAAATGCTCATGATGCAAAAAAGTCCAAGCTCGATATTCTGGGTGTTCCGCGCATTCTGGCTATAGTAGTAGTAGCATTCCGCGTGTATGTTAAAAGTTGCGGCAAACGCTATGTGTGAATAGCGCCTAAGAGTAAGCCACTACTTGCAGAAAATTGTACAGACGATTGTGCAGCACTATCCTTAAAGCATTTTTGATTACATTGTGGGATGCTGATGTCTGAGTATAGCCGGTTTTATTTGTCAGATCCTGTGCACAGGCTTAGCGTACTATGCTTGTACAATTAATATCTGTTCATTAAATTTAAAATACAGAAAGCACTATGTACTGTCTTGAGTTTATTTTCTTGGATAAACATACCTGGGATAAGCTGTGCCCTCTGATTCAAGATTTAACCCCTTAGTGGGCAATATGATTTGCAACCTTTTTTGCACTATAAGGTCCAT